TCTTAGACTTATCGATTCGCAGGCGAGAAATTAATGCGGTGGCGAACCTGTCGGCCGCGGGCATGGGGGAACATTTGGTGGAATACGTCTGCCTGCACTGAGCCTTCATCTTGGGATGTCCAGCCGAGAGGTAAACCTGCAAACAGGGATCGGACTCAAACTTCTCCTTGACTTCCACCGCACAAGACAACCTGTGCCAGCGCCTGAAAAGTATTCCCCGGCTGACACAGAAAGGTATCGACCAGGAGTCGTCGTCGGGGCATCCCTAAGGCTGTCCTTGTAGGCTGTGGACCATCTGATTTGATTGGCAAGGTCCTTGATGGAGAGAGGCATGAGTAGCAACAACTATTCGTGCCATGACTGCTCTAACTAATGTAAGCCAACTTCCCTGATGCCACGCTGGCTCACGTTGCCCTTGGCCACTCTTACTGTGGCCCCAAAACAGCCTGGGTCGAAGACTGAAGGTCTGTTCAGTTTCAAATGATATGAGGAATACCATTCACCCGACACTGAGCCCACAGCGAATGCTGCTCCACGCCGTAAAACAACGGGAGCCACTGAACGTCTTGGCACCCTTCTTCGTGCGGGACAGCTTGGGCTTCTTCACGACCTGAATACTCATCCGAGTCTGACATATCAAACTCAATCTCGTTCAGAAGCGGGGCAGACAAGTTCAATCTATCTCAAACAATGACGAGGTTCAGGCCTGATATGGTTTAAGCCTTGAAGCCTCTAACTTACTTTATGGCTGGGCTCCCGGGCCACTTTCAAAGCAAGAGGTGGAGCCTGGGGCAGCTCCAGTTCAAAGTGGCCGACATGCGTAGCAGAGCCCTTCTTGAAGACATGGGCCACGTTTGGCCAGGATCGGTTCTTGTTCAGCGGCAGATAACCCTTGAGGCGCAGGATGCCCTTCTTCAGATGCACCTGCAAGTGCAACTGATGTGTAGGGAGCATCCGAGTTGCCATGCTGCCGGCCTTGTGGGCCGGCTTCTTCGTGATTGAGGATTTCCTGAGTATGCTATGGAAACCGAAACATGACTTGCACTTCCCAAGCAAAGTGTGTCACACAACGTCAAACAGTCAAAGCCAAAGATCGCTGGCGGGTTCTCTTCTTCAGAGTCGGTCAAGGCGCCAACATGCTGCGAGACTGGCATCCTAAAATATATCTTGGGGATATGGTTTGCGCAGTCTCTCGAAGTTGTCTGCCCAATACTGGATGATTTGGTCCTTGCATGTTGTGCTTGGAACATCTCATTACGCAAGTCGCTCTTCTACATGTTGCAAGACTGGCATCTGAAAAAATAACAGCTTGGACATATGGCGGGGCACTCTCTAAAAGTTGTCTGCAAACACAGGATGCGGTCCTTGCAACAGCCCTTGGAACATCTTCACATGCCAATGCACACGACATGCAACACTTCAGTTTGCCACATGAACTTGCTCTGTCACCTGACCTCAGCACGGAAAAAGACGGATGCTGTCTGCGTGGTCTTTATCTTGTCTTCTTGTCTGGCTCTGAACATGAAGCGGCGACCCTCGCCACATGATGTGATCTCCGGACCGATGAAGCAATATTTGTACTGACCGATGGTGAATTGCGCACAAAAACAGAAATCAACGTTCGGAAGCACTAATCATCTGTAACTGTTATGGGTACAAAGGGTACAACGATACCACCCAAAAGCGACCCCATTCCTGAGCACAAATTGAATGAATGAGTGGCAGTGGGCGCGGGCGCGAAACCTAAAATTCAAATTCATCAACTAAGCATGGATAGAGTGTGGCGTCCCAAAACCGAAGAAGGAGTGATGGCATCCCAAGCCGAAGAAGGAGTGATGGTTTGTGGCGCAAACCCGGACCCCAGAAAGGCAACATCAAGCCAACAAAAGCTCGACCACCAGTTCATTTTCGACACCCGATTGCCGGGAAATTTCTTTCTTGTTGGCATGAAAGAAGGCACCACATGACCAGGAGAATTCATCAGTGCCTCGTCCGCCCCTAGACGGGGTATCCGAGACAAGTAGCTCATACAAGTGGCAAATGCAGTCGCGCCATGCTTCGTTGCTGGCTGACGCTCCCAAGTGGAGAGCATAATGCGAGAAAGCTTCGGGGTCCATCTGGCCGTCCTCCATGATGGCTGAGTTTCCATCATCCTCCGCCTCGGCATTAGGGGCAACTGTGGGATGCGACACAGGTGTGGATGAGGCGGCTGAGTTACTTGAGCACGATTCCTGCGCTCCAGCTGGCACAACCCCAATGACACTCTGGCGCAGGATCCGAGTGCCCGCGGGAAGCGTCGGCAGTGAGGGCGAGCATGAGACACAAGGTGGAAGGGGGGTATCGGCTTCCAACTTACGCACGCCGGGAAAGAGGGGTTCAGGACTAAGAAGAACCACAATCTGCCGAAACTCGGGCACAAGGGGTGGCACGCGCTTGCTGCGAGGTTGCACACCAGCTGCAACCTGAGACTCACGCAGGGGAAGGGCAGCACCAGGCGCAAGGTATGAAGCGGGTGCAGGGTGGCCACGTTCGGCGGCAGCACGGACAATGATGTCGGCCATACGTTGGCAGAGCACACGAGGGTAGACCTTCTCGGCGGCTGTGTCGAAGGCACCTGAGGATCGCGACCAGGGCAGGTGGCGATGAGATGTTGATTCCCCCGGGCAGAGAAGGGATAGCTCGTGTAGCAAAGGGACATTATGGGCTAGGCGGGTGAGCTTGGCACGCTCACCGCCGTGTTGGCAGTTATGAAAAAGGGTTTCCTCAAACTGCAGGTCGGCAACGGCAGTGAGCCACATGGTCGTTTGCCAGAAGTAAGAGCGGCCTGGATTCTCGCAAGAGACGAGCTTCCCAGAACGGATGCAGTGTGCAAAGATCTTGCCAGTGACGGCATAAAGGTCGTTGGCCTTAGCAACGCGAATGCGGAGCTCGCCAGTGAGGTCTGGTAGCCCATCCGGGTGGGCATCACTTCTCGCGGGAGCAGGTAGGCTTTCACCGCGACGAAAAATTTCACGAGCACGACTCGCTGTTCCACAAGGGGGAGCGATGTGCACATAAAGGCAAAAGGGAGAATCGATCAGATCAAGAACCATCTTTACATGTTCGGGATCAAGGAGGTCCAGCTTAAGGACGGGAGAAATCATTTGCTTTGGGGCAACATGGTCGATTCCGATGCTATCTCGGAACCCTGCACGCCGAAGTTCGGCAGTAAGCCTGCCTGAGCCTGAGAAAATTTCAATGCAGAAGAGGGAATCAATCCTGAAAGCATCAGCACCGCAAAGAGAGTGCCCGGCATCAAGTAGCGGCCCCTCCACAGGGCTCGCAGCCTCAGCAGGACGAGAAGGAAAACAATGCGATTTGCTGGATGCAGCGGCCGATGCTTGCGGGGTTGAGGCGCTCAGTGAAGCATCCAATGAAACACTGGGCGATGGAAAACACGGTGCTGGCACGCTGTCGGGCTCAGGCAGGCATGCGCTTCATGGCTTCTTTGGACACGCATGCGCGGGGTGGTGACCGCCACAACGCATGCAGTTGTGCAGACCCCTGGGGCAGGATTGGCCGACCTTGGCATTAGGACACCCACTAGCCATATTGAATCCCCAGCAGCGGCGCTTTCCGGTCTTAGTCCAAGACGAAAGGCCCTTGAGTTCTTCTGGAAGATTGCTAGGCTCTCGCAATGTCTTGGTTTTTCCCTTGCCGGTACCTTTGCGCTGCTTCTTGGTCGGGGTGTCTGTGGGCTCAGGTTTGAGCTCGGTGCTCTCCCGCTTGAGGGCACCACCTTCTCGCGGGAGGAGATGAAAAATCACCTTCGGGTCAGTCTGCAAGCGGGCCCACAAACTGTCAAGAGGCAAAGCCCCGGCTGCATCTCGACGAATCCCGTCGGGGGTAAGCTCTGCCAGGCGCATCCAGGCAGCACGGTCCGCATGCAGAATTTGTTGCACAGAAGTGGCACGGCTGCCAGCAATGGGCTCCTGATGAAGGTGGCCCAAGAGGAAATCCACGAAGCCCTGAACCCTAAAGTAATCAGTCACACCGATCAAGTCAAGAGCAAGGCTTCGACGGTGCATGGCATGGTGAAGGCTCAGTGCAGTGGAAGTATCGCATGACTGATCGGGGTCACGATCTCTCACGACCAGTGTTGAAGCCTGTACATCCAACTCCTTCCGCGGTTTCTCGGAACGCAGCTCAGCTTCACGAGTGATGAACTTGGCCGGGGAAAGGTAGCTGATGCAGTTATCAGTAAGGAGCTTCATGCAGAGGTCATACGAGGCGTAGCTGCACTCAGTCTGGCCAGACATGGTGATGCCTCTAAGTTTGTTGGCCTGTGCTCGGATGCGCTCGCGGCGCTCCGCGGGGGCTAACTCCTTGACCTCGTTCTCCTTGTTCTCAACGAGTGCCTTGGTCTGGCTGACCAAGAGGGTCTGTGCTTCGAACACCAGGTGTCGAACCGCTGCGATGGATCCCAACGGCGGGGCTGCACCTCCCACCTTGATGAGGGCCGCCAACGACTCCTCGGTCGGCGTCTCGCCGGGCTGGCAAGGGGCGAACGCTAGCTTCGCCATCGTGTCGATGGTCTGTGCAACAAGGCGATCCACTGCTTCCTGAGGGAGGCCCACACGTTTGGCTCGCTCCAGGAAGACTGCCTTGGACTCTACAAGGGTTTGCGCCATGGTCTCCGATCCTATGTGCACTCACAGAAACTGGTCTTGAGACACGCACATGCAAAGGACCAATCATGCACACAGTGATTGCAAGCTTTGCATGTGGACAACGCACTGCTGGTCATCATCGCATCGCCGAGCTTGGTCCGCCCGTCCGGACCCCGTGGCGGCCACGAGGTAAACCAAAGGTTCCACTGAAACCCTTGTTTGCCCGGACGAGTCTCCGAACCATGCTCTGGATCGGTGCGCAATTGACCACTCGTCCATCAGACATGACTGTGAAGCTCAGCGATACACTGAAGTGGTGATCCGCAAGCATCGCACGTCACACGACATTTCTCACTTAGAAGCGCCCTGCTTCTTAGCGATGAAACTCGCCATGGCCCCTGCGTCGCGGAGGGGCCGGCCTGCTGTGCATTGCTTGCACAGCCATCTACTGCTGAAGACCTTTCCACTGAAAGGCTTCATATTGTCAAGCGACCTTCCACAGATCAACTTGCCAGTAGAACCCTTCGCTCGTGAGTGAAGGCTCTTGGTCTTCGGGTTCTGAAAAATGTCTAAATCAGGGCCCATGTTCACAGACGGGATCGCATTCTGCGCTTCGCCTGCTCCAAAACTCTCATAATGAGTCTCCTCCTCGGACTCACCTGAGCTCTCAGACTCGCTGCTCGAGGCTTCGTGAACGTCTTCTTGTTCACCCAGGTCCTGATCATCAGGAGGTTCTACGCCTCCATCCTCGGCCAGCTCAACTTCGGGAGCGCACTCGAAGCTCTCGTGAGATGGCGAAAGATTGGCACGACCCAAGGGTGCCAAAGAGAATCGCGACTCACGGATGGTCGCACCTCCTGCAATCATCCCGCTCTTCGTGCGATCCGGATGGAAAACCCCCTGCCGGATGGCACCAAGACATTCTGCAAGATCTCGTAGCGGCTGCGCCTGCACTTCGCGAGCGTAAGCTTCTTGCGTTTTCCCACTTGGACCTAAGCTATGGTGTCCCAGGACAAGTTGCGTCCTCTCACTGTATCCAGCCTTCGAGGTCCAAGAAAGCGGCGTTGCCTTCAAGCCGTGCGAGGAGAATGTAAGATCTTCTTCGGCCGCTTGCAGCCGTGAAAGCAACGCCCTGATCCATGTAGTGGTCTCGTTGGCATCGATGGCATCCCCGCTCCAAGAGTAATCGCAGGCCAGGCGGGGGAGCAACGGCCCGCGATGCCCCTTCTCGAAGTCGAAGCCAACGGCCTTCGCCGCCTCTGCCCAAGCGGCGCCCCAAGGCTTCTGGTGGAGCCCATGGTACGGCGCAACCAAAATGAGCACGGCCCCCGGTCCACTGCTCAACCGGCAATTCTTGTGCTCATAAGTTCTGACCTCGATGAAACCCGTATCGCCATCAAGGTCAAGCTCAAGCTTCGAAATGTTCCTCAGATCGGACACTCGAGCCCTGGAGTAAAGCTGGAACAAGAAGACCCCAGTAGCGTACCTGTCCACCTTGTCAAGGGCTCCCTCTATCAGCGCTCCTTCGAGGAGGAGCACCTCCTCGACCTTCAGGACTCTCGATCGTCTCGGGTCACAGGTGCGAATGTTGGCTCCCCGCAGCGCACCCTTGACCCAAGGGTTGTCACTGATTCCTTGTTCGACCTCAATTCCGAGAACATGTTCCAGGAATTCACAGTTTCCATAGCCTCACGAATGGCACTGTTCCTGGCTTCGGCTGCAAGTGGTTTGAGGAAGCTCACAAGAAACTCGAGGCTCACCGGGAAAGCCTTCACATGATGCTTGTCGGCCCAACAAATGAATCGTGCAGAAAATCGGGCTCGCTTAAGCAAAGTCGATGTTGCTTTCCCAGCCAAGGCCTGCGCCACGACCCCCAAGGGGTCAGATTCGCCTTTCGCCCAAATGAGAACCCCCAACCTCGAGGCACCAGGTGAGTGGCTCAGAACACAGAGCCACCGACGTAGGACATTTTCTCGATCGACACCGGCCTTCTCGCCTGCCTGTAGCCTGGGCTTCTTAAGCACAGCCTCAAAGACGGGCACAACCTTGGTACACTGCAGAGCCACCGGCAGCGGCTCGTCTGAATCACCCGGCCGCCTGTACTGCGTGGCTGGCGGCGGCACGACTCTTGGCACCTTGACGCTATGAAGGTCGACGCTTCTGCCTGGTTTTCCTGAGAAAATGGCAGACAAGGCCTTATTCCTGTCCCACGGATAGCTGAGTGGGGCCACAACATCATGAGTCAAGTGCTGGAGGTGTTGCTCGAAACGATCACATAGATCGGAGGCCGAAGCTTCAGCAGCCATCAAAGAGACCCCACGAGCCAAGGCCCTGAAGCGAGGCCGTGCTCACGGCAGGGGCTGCAGACCAGCCCTAATTGCAACGAAGAGGATTTCCTGCAAGAAATCGCTGCGAGTGGAAGCACTCGAAGCCAGCAGAGCTGATCTAGCAGCAGGATCAAGGAAGTTCCACAGCGTAATCGTCACTCGCACTTTGCACACGGGTCCCGAGGCAAAGACGCAATCAAAACTAAGATCGCTAAAGTGAGAGCTCGCTGAGGTCTTGCCAAAGACGCGGAGGACTCACTGTCCTCGTAGTCCATGTAGCGACCCGCCCCACTCGCTAGAAGCACCAGATTAGCACCCAGGGCCTTTTAGAAAGATCCTAGACGTGTCTACCGGGTGGCCTGCCACACCTACCAGTGCTCACTCCCCTTGCAGCGAGAGCAAGCCCTCAAGCCACTATTCCGTCGGGGGAACCCTGGCAACGGTGTGCGGCACCACAGCAGAAGGATCTCGAGGCTCACACAAAATTTTTCCGACTGTGATCCGGAAAACTGCGCAGTTCGTTCACATCAAGACATGTTGTAAAGATGTTGCCGCAACTTGCGTGTGAAAAGATTTGCCCGATAAAAGTCGAAACGGAAAAGTGGGAAACAAAGGAAAAACTACAGTTTTTCCTTCAAAAACAAAATCTGGAAATAAAACCCTGTCAATCACGATTGAAGGGTGGCATGATGTACCTAGACTGCACATTCGGAAGCCAAGATACTCGGTAGAATAGCATTCCAGATGCAGTTGTCAACGTAGGCAACGAACCATCTCGTGTCTCCGTTCGGGCCCGCCCTGACTGGATAGATTGCGTTAGGTCCACAAGCCTTTTGGAAGGTGCCTCCCGCTCGTAGGCTGCAAGGTTCTTTGCCTGTAGCGAGAAGCGAGTCTTAGTAGCTTGGGGTTTATAAAATCCTACCAGAAGTGAAAAGCTTAACCTTCTGTGGGCTAGTGTACGAAGCCCCTAAGGAGTATTGAATATGCGGCCGGGTAAGCTTTGCCACTAAACAGTTCTGGGGTTTAGGGTTTAGGGTTTTGGGTTTTGGGTTTAGCAGTGCTAAGTAGTCGATAAGACGAGCTACATGCCAAGCTGACAGCTTTTGCACCGGGGGCTTCATGAAGAAAAACTGCTTCAACGGCATCACGGGTCGACGTCTCAACTTCAGAAGCACATCGTGCAAGCTGATGTCCGGGTTCCAAGTCACCGAAGCCTGCTTGAGTGCAACGATGTACCTTCTCGCTCGAGCTGTCCTGTAGCCAAACGTTCGTGGATCGATGCAAGCATCGATGCATCTGTACTTCTTTCCGAGTCGGCTCTGTACTGTCTCCAACTGATATTCGCAAACATTTTCGATGAGTATAATGTCGGTGCCCTTGCGAACTTCGTTCCGGTAAAACGTCTCGTGACAAGCATAAGCTTCGTGTTCTTGGGCGGTCCGTAGTCCCATCATAGAGAATGGTGTACATGGTGGCCCTGGTAGGGTGTAATGCTAGCCGAGAATCCTAGCTACCTCTGCTTATGTCAAGCTCTGACACCGGGCAAAGACGTGACCAAATTACACTCGGATGTGGACTGAGGACAGTGCCAGCGACGGTCACGCGCAATCCTCAGTGGGTTCCGACACTGCTATCGCGTGCAGCGCAAGCAGAAGCATCGAAGACTGATTAAGGCTGGGTTCGACCATCTGTTTCAGAAGCCGGTTTGGAAACTAGACACTTCTTCTCGTGAGTGTAGCACCAAGCCCTCTTGCCCTTCATCTCGTTCACATCACCAAAGTTGCACGTGCAAGGGTATGTTGCCGTGAGTACCCGGCGGCACCATGCATTGATGTCGCAACTCGATTCGAACATGACATGCTTCTCTGAATCGTCCACAAAGCCCGCTGCACTAGCTTCGAGGCAGTGGAGAGCCTCGGTTCAGCCAAAAGATAGCAGTTTTCATATGCTAGGTCCTAGTGTCAGTGACGGTACATGCAAGTGCAAGTGCATATCAGCAATAGAGGATGCGACGGTCTCTGCACAGCCAATTCCGCTAAAACAGGTGCTCACAGACCACCTCCATGTCTCCAGCTGATTCGAGACGAAGTCATTCCCGTAAGAATCAATCAGAGTCTGCAGGAAAGTGGTCGGCCATGTGAAGCAATCCTTCAGCGTGGTTGGCCCCGCGCAGCAGTCGGAGGTGGCTGGCTCGATGTCTGTCTTGGGGTATTTTCTCCTTGTTCTCAACAAATACAAAGGCTAGATTTATATAAATGCAGTGCAACCGTAACGACCTTGGGTTCCCAACTATACAAAACGCACAAAGAATAATCAAGAGATGCTACTCTAATACCTAGCCATAATCTTCCACATCCACAACACCAGCTGAGATTCGCTTTGGGCTGGCTTCGGGTCTTCGTGGTTTGCTTGATCACCGGAAAAGTCTTTCTGGCTGGCTGAGACTTTTGCTTGGATTGCTGTCGCGCTCTCTTCTCCAGCCAAGTACGATCAATTGAGGATTTCACGTTAGCCCCTTTGCTGGAGGCCTTCTGAGTCTTCTGATTGAGACTCCTCTGCGCTAGCATTTTAAAGGCAGCTGCACAAGGAACCGGTGGCATGTTGTCAGAAGCCCAATGCAACGAGGGAGCCTAAGTACATCCGGGCCCCTTTGAACCAGGAAGTGCCGCTGGGTCCAAAACACTGTCACGTAGCATGTTCAGTCTCACTGACTGCCTAAGGCTGTGCAGAAGCCGCCTCTCTGGCCGAAGGACTCCTGAAGGCGAAGTTTCAATTCAGGGGCGAGGGGCTTTCTGGATGTAGTGTTCCGGTTTAATTAGAAGGCAGATTCTGGAATTTCGTCGAACATGATATGCTGCAGTAATTTCTAAGGTGTGCTTCAGCAGTTCCTAGACCACGGCCGCACAACAAGTACGTTTGGCAATTAAAATGACAAGCCATCCAATGGTCAACGGCCAGGCCTCTGTCGGCCCGGCCAAGCTGGAAAACTGCACCTGGGCAGGCGAGTGCTTGCAGAGGGCCTTGAGCTAGGATCTTCCACATCAAACCTCCTCGACACCCTATCGTAGGCGGCTCTTGTTCCAAGCCCCAGTCTTGCAACTTCACGAGACAGCTGTCTGTGTCGATAACCCCGCACTGCCCTACACCATCCTTTGGATGGATGCACGGAAAAGCATTGCAGGAAGCATTCTTGACAAGATCTTCTTGTCAGCTGCACCAAAATCAACATGAACATGGGGCCTGCAGTCCACATCTAGGCTGTGCCACGGCAGTGGAGGTAGAGCAGAGAAGTCTAGTCGCGTACAGAGAAGAAGCAAGTAAGCCACACTCCGTTCTGTAATTTCAGAATTGCCTCTAGCAAGCAGAGCTCTGGCCAGCTTCAACCAATTTTCTCGCTTCTTAGGTTTCGGGCTCTGCAGTGGCCGCGGCCAAGCAGGCACGACTCCATTGAGCAGCTTCAAGAAATCGTTCGGCAGGGCGAGCAGTGGCTGCTCAGACATTCATCAAGGGACCAAGGTTTTAGGCTAGGTAATGAATGACGCCACTATGTCAAGCTATCTTCATTTTGCCGAGAATCTTGGCATAACTCTGAATCTGATATGTAGCGCTTGACAAACCCCAAAACATCTGCTGGATGGGAGGGCACAAGTTGAGCACACCTTCCGGAGGCTCGTATGTTCAGGTTCGCGGGGCAATCTTGGCTTCAGCAGCGCACGCAATGTATCTTGGAACTAAGACTGAATGCCTCTCGGCTCTGGATTGCAGCTCACAGGCCCATTCGTCTCATCAACGTGAACGAATGTACTGCAGTATCATCGTTTTTCAGGCCGCCGGCGAAAGTCACGGGGATTGCTTCCAGCCTCAGCAACAGCTTATGTAAATGACGTCGTAATGATAGGAAAAACTGCAGCAGTGCTCGGTTATCATATCATATGAGGCACCATCGCTTCCAATCACGAACCGTAGTCACACTGGTCACGGTGATGTCTGCGTGCTTGCCGATCCAGGCTTCAAGACGAAGCCTTCGACAAACTTCTTTTAACTTCCTTAGGAAGCTTCTCGCCACAGCAAACAACCACCGATACCACATGAAGTGGAAGTCGCATGAATTACTCTGTGAATCAGCTGATGGGCTCACAGGCATCGTCCGCATCTGCCAGAATGTCTATGTAGCGAAAGCATGCACGGAGTAGTCCGAAGACTTGATCTTAGCAGCAGCCACGCTTCACCAACACTGGGCTTCCTTGCTTTACACGCAGAATGAGACGTGACATGTAAGCTGTATAACGCAAAGCGTCCAACACACGATTTTGTGTGTCCCACGCGGTGCATCAACAATGAACAAACGTTCATCTTGAAGGTGGCGGCAAGGAGGCACAAGTATTTGAGTACCTGGTTGTTCTTGTTCTCCCGGGTGCAATTGTCCGCCTCGGTTCAGCTACGTTCATGACATGTTCCACGCTTGCCTGGACTATTCTGGGCATTGCACTGCAGACAAAGCGGCAACAATTGCAAGCTGTTTCGGGGCAGACCGGCCCAATTGCTTGGCCTTCTGCTGCATGTGCTCCAGGGCTCGCGCGCCACACTCCAAAATGAGTGAGGAGTCACTCTGGACTCTTGGGTCCACCAAGAAAAAGTGCAGGCCAATCCCATGGGCCCAGCAACACTGCAACTTCAGCCTCGGTTTGTCGTATTTGGCTATGTCTGCACCAGCAATCCCATGACGACTTCTGGGCAGCGCCCACTTCGCTTGATCCATCCCGTCCTTGGCCAATGATATGGCAACCGGCAAGCGCGGAAACAGAACCAGCAACAAGCTTTGGCGCAATCAAGCATCCCAGTGGAGACAGACCAAGGATGTCTCCCACGGATCACTGTTCTTGCAGGGAATCACGCTCATGACTGACAGCACACCTCTATACACATACAGAACCACAACAACTCGTTCTTGTTGAAACTGCTACTTCAAGTTATCGGAGAAGCAGCACTCCTGCAAGTATTCCTCGAGTTCGCGGTCTTTCGCGACGCTATTCAAGTGCTCCCGGTACATTTTCGCGACCTCGAACCTGCTTTGGAGGTCCTCAGCATGATACGAACACATACTACTCTACACTTGAAAGGCAGATGCTCTGCAGAGGTTGTCAGGTAAACAGGAACCGAGGCTCAGAAAAACAACCGGAGAGTACTTCTTTGAACCACAGGCAGTCACTGCAGCCCGCATGACTGGACTCGGGGCTAAAGCGCAGCACGTTTGCCCAGCGGTCCCGAAACCGGCGCCAGAAATGGTTGTACCTGATTCATGGCATCGCACCGACAGGTGCTGCAACTTTCCTTTGTTTCCACAGACTGTTCAGATGCACCCGAGGCACGAAACTCCGGATTGAGGGCCTCCAAACTGAAGCCAGAGCATCTTTATATTGCCAGGTGGCAAGTACCGGGTGGGTAAGGAGCTGATGTTCCGCCCGTGGTCAGCTTCCACATACCTAACTTAGGTTCAGGTTGTGGTTGCGGGACAAATCCAAGCAAGGGGGATCAAAGGGGAGATCACATCCTAGGGGCTTCGTAAACATCGACTTCTCTCCCATGATGAAGAGCTTGAGTTCTTCATCGTCCTCCAGGACTTCCCCGTCCTGGGCCAGACAGCCATCACTGCCATCTGAACTCAGCTCCTCATCACCTGGGTAGGCTTCAGCAAGACGGTAGAGACATGCACGCGGGGTTCCAAGGGCAACAAAAACTAGCAGAACCCAGACTCTGGACCAGTGAGCCGGAGCGCCAGAAGAAGCTGGCCCATGCCCCCCCAATCTGGCGCACAACGACGAGTCAGGCTGGCCCTTCGCCAACTTCGCCGAGGATCGCGTCTGTGCCGCACGACGAAACCTTGATTCGTGTCAAGCTATGCAGCTGAAGACAAAATCATGCACACAGCCCACATTCAGCTTGGAGACTTGTCCGGCATTGTACTTCCTGCCTTCATGTAAACATCCAGCAAAAACGCATCCGTTTCAGAGTGCTTGGGGGCAGGGTGTGAAGGAACCTCAGATGGTTATTTCGATGAGGCTGCAGAAATATCACTTGACTGTCAAAGCGCCAGTTATCTGCAGCTGAACAGCCAGCCGGTTCTGAGTATACCGCTGGTCCATCTTACGCTGACACGCAGATCGTAGTCTCTCTCGGCCGACACCCAATATCAGTGCAATGCATCTGACGCCCAGAGACTTGCCGAGCAGAAACCATTGACGACAGTGGCATTCACCGTCTGCTGGCCGTGCCACGTCACGTAACTTAGATCCAACCAATGCACAACGAACCAAACGTAAAACGAGACCCCACATCCCGACCAGAGTGGAAACTGTGAACGACAACTGACCATGCAGCCTCAACACAAACGCGTCCTGCTGCAACTTGGTGAATTTCCAGAAAGCAGCGACATAGCTGGAAACATCATTCAGATCAGCTTCAAACTGCTCAAAGCAATTGTGATTGCCGCTGCATCGACACTTGCACGCAAACAGTTCGGCCAACCTGTTGTGACTGGCTCCGTTCTTGCGATGCCTGGGCAAATGCTTACGGAAAACCTACATCATCATGACAGGAACATCGCTTTCATACGTAGTCACACACAAAACCGAACAACAACTATGATGGCGTGACATGCTAGATGAACCAGGTAACAGATCAGTGTTGCGTGAAGCTTGCTTGTTCTGTGCTCGTAGACGGTTGTCATAGTGAGGGCGCTTCCGCTTCTTAGCAAGAGCTGCATCTACCTGCGAAACGCCATGCAGAGTATCTTGAAACCGAGACATAGCCTTCCAGTCGAGGTGTATCTCCATGATTGAACCAGCTTCGTCGTCAGCTTCGCTGCCTACGTCATGTCTTGCTCTTGTAGGAGAAGCTGCTTGCTCACTGGAGGTATGCAGAGCAGCAACTCCCAGAAAGAAGGACATTCGATCAGTTCTGCTGGCTAGCCCATTGTCGGTGTCATTCGTGGTTTCGGCTACGTCTGGAACACGGACAGGTTTCGCAAGTGGTCGCGCTGGAGGGCGCGGAGGCCCAGAAGCTGGCCGCTTCAAGCCACGTAGATACCTCGCACGGCAGCCATGTCATGCTTAAATTTTAAAGGGAATCAAGTTGATTCGTCAAGGAGCTCTGCACGAGCTTCAGCGGAGACGGTCGTCATGACAGCAAGACTCCATGGCTAAAGGCACAGCAGGATCGTCGAAATCTATCTGCAGTAGCTAACACCTAACACATACATACATACATGCACACACGTGCGCATGTTGAACGTATTGGCTTGAGTTTTGTTTATTTCAGGCGGTGGTTACATGTAATGGTGAACTGTCCTGTTTTAAAGCTTCCTATGATTGTCTTCAAAAGGTTTGGCTTGTCCTGCGATGGCACTGAGTCACACTTCCGTGGCGACGCGAAGTTACAAGGTTTGAGCTTTATTGCTGTGACGTGTCAGTATATGTTCGGTGCTTGTAATACTGAGGTGTTACTCTGTCATTGTATTGCGTTAAAACGTATACGTTAGAAGCTGCCCCCACCCTGTAATAGTGGTATAATAGGAATATAATAGGGCCCTAATACAATATTAATATAATCCTTATGGTCACTATTACAGGGTGGGGGCAGCTTCTTCTAACGTATACGGTGATTGCAAGTTCGGCAAAGCTTTCATCCCCACGAGTTAATCCCACAGCAATGTGGACAAAATGTATCAACGGTCCCAGCATTTTAAACATTTCAGTTTTATACGAATACAAGGATCTGGGAAGCCCAACTACGAACTGTAGTCAATGGAGCACCTGATGCCTCCTGCCCGCTGCCAAGGTTCGGATGTCCTGCGCGGGGCAGGCAACCACAGATAGGCAATCCCATCGCTGCTCGGCGCTACATCACCGTAAAGAACCTCATCCGATCAAAACCGAACAGCACCGACTCCAAGATAGCCTGCCATTCTCATTATGATCCGCAGAGACCTATTGAAGGTTGCAATCTACATCCGATTTATCGCTTATAAAAGACCTGAGATAGAGACGAGCCATTGAAAGCAATGCAGTGCTACGTTGCAATGCCAGCAATACCCGATGATGATCGTATATTAATTGCATACTAAAGCTGCACATGCACCAAAGCAGAAAGGAATGCCTCAGTAAGAAGGACTGCCGGCAGGAAAGTGCCATTATCCCATCCCAAACCTCCACAACTAATCCTCAAGGCAACCGCTAGGACCCCCAGGAACTAGACTAAGTAGTCACGCCCTCCTGGTTCATTTCAATCCCATCACTGCTGAAACGGCGCCTCCCCAGCTACGGGCAGAATCCAAGTCGAAACATCGTATTCCTGTCAGGAAACTTGCGCGGGTAGTGGGACCAGGCCCTAAATAAGCTAAGTTTTTACGGGTCATCTCTGGCAACGACTTAGAAAAAAGCTTTGGGCTTTCAAGATTGGCACATGTAGGGCTTTTCGACTAATAAATTTAGGATGGTTGGGTCGTGTTGTTCTACTTTCAGGAAGTCCTTTCGTTGTAGGTCCTGCTGTGGCTGTGCAGCCTGCCAATTGTTTAGCTTACATTTTTTTAAGTGTTTTAGATGGGAGGCTTCCTTTGGTTGCTTTCGCTGGCTTGGTTTAGGTCTCAGTATGCCTTTGCTTGGAGCATTTACCCACTTGATTCCAACTTTTAAGCTTGCTACCACTGGGAGACGAGCAGGAAGGTTCCTTTCGTTCTTGAGGTCTGGGCATTACATTCGCTCGAAGGTTGACACAACAAGAGTAAGAATCGACAATAAGTTTGGTTGCGTTCATCTAAACTAAGCTATTGATGATAGATTTCAATAAGGCTTCTGAGGGTTCTTATGCACCCAAGGATAATTAAAACAAGAACAAGCATCCTGTCACTACTAGGGGCATCAGGCTTACGGCTTAGGCTTTTTTCATGGTGTTTCTCAATCGCTCTGGGAGATTTCCCTTCGTATCCGGTCTTTACAGAGCTGGGAGATCTCCTTTCGCTCTTTTGGACAACTACCACGACTGGAAGGAGAACTGCCACGGCTGGAAGGAGAACTGCCGCGGCTGGAAGGAGAACTGCCACGGCTGGAAGGAGAACTGCCAGACCCGAAGGAGAACTACCGTGCCAGCTGCTGCGTGCTGCTGCTGCTTCCTCAACTTCAGAGAACTACCGCCGTGCCGAGCCGTGCAAAGAACAGCTGCTGCTCAACGTTGCGACTGCCAGACCCGAAGGAGAACTGTGTAACTACCGTTACCGTGCCATCTGCTGCTGCTCTTCAACTTCAGAGAACACTGCCGCCGTGCCGAGCCGAACAAAGAACAGCTGCTGCTCAACGTTGCGACTGCCTGCACCGCCCGATCTGAATGCTCATGATGTGATGAACTAGCTCTCGCCAATCAATCCCGCAGCGCTTGAACTTCAATCTCACGCCCGCAGACGGCTTGAGCTTGAGCCAAATTTGCAATTAAGGGCTGTTGGTGGGGCAACCGAAACTGGCTTCAAAGAACCTTCAAGCTTAAGCCTAAGAGCTTAAACTTAAAGGTTTCCCCGAGTTCCGAAGCCCGAGGCTCTGGCGGACAGCACCGGGCCGATCATCTCTGCAGCTGCTCTCGCTGCCACATCTTTGCGGATAGTGGCTGGGGGCACTTCTTAGATCTATTGTAGGGTGTAAGAACAGTACGGGTCAATAGGGGTACCTCTAGCTACGGTCTCGGGGTTATACTTAAACCTAGCACAAGCTCTATGGGTCTGGGCTTCCGGTTTTTGCTAGGGCGCACGTTTGTAGTAGTATAAGGTTTAGGAGTCTGGTGGTTCAGGGGTTTAGGGTAATTATGCTGCCGTTTAGACAGTACCAGTTCACAAGAGCTTACGGATGCTACACCACCTGTATAGTTTTGCGCACTGTAGCCACGTACAATAGGCCAAGCTGAATCGTGAAACGGCATGCTATGGAAAAATTTTTCGTGCTTACACCCCCTTGAAGTGGCATCATGAGCATATGGAGCATCATTGCTGGGGGCGTCGTGAGCATATGGAGCATCATTGCATCGCCTTCTTCGACCCAAAGATACGCGAGGTAGTGTCAGAGACGTGAAACAAAGGACACAGCTGATCCTTTAACTTTGGGGCCCCGAATGAAATGAAATCGGCCCCGAATGCGACGAAATTGCCTTAGTATCGAATTCTGACCCATGTCTCGAACTGAGGCTTGTAGCTATCACAGAGTGGAGTGCTGGAACACCCTCCCCAGAGAGAGACGGACAACTTCTGTGTTTTGGTCCGTCACGATCGTGCACACCAAAATCCAAAAGTCCAAGGTTCCTGCTGCGCGGCTTCCTGATAAGAAGTGCGAAAACCAGTGCCGCAGGCAAGCAACCCGTCATCGACTCTAGGCGGACCAAGCGCCCACATGACGCTCTAATGCATACTGGCAACCTGTATGGGCTACATCGGCACTTCCGGAGTCCTGGGCGTGGTGCAGTTCCGTTCTGATGAACACAGCGTCCATGGAGACCAAGACGCAAGTTTTGTAAGATTTCGCGCACTCCAAGATGCTAAACGAGCTGCGTCCTTGTGTCCAGGCGGCCAGAATGGCCAACAGGTGTCCACACAGGAGTCCATCCGGACTGTGGAGAACTCGTCGATGTGGCGGTAAACAGTTTTGTTCCATTGGGCGGCCAGATGTGCTTGGGGCAGCTGGAAAGTGAGGAACGCGGACAGCTGTCTCCACGGCTTGTAGGAACGACAACACAAGGTGCACCTCAGAAGCGAAATGACACCGAGGCCTCAGCGCAGGCTGGGTGCATGGTCGGATGGGCATGCTTATCGCCAGGGAAACATGCGTCTCAGACATTTTAAGCACTTGAAGAATACATCTAGAGCCCCTTTTAATGCACGACAAACTGCGAAGGAATCCCAGCGCATCAAGCGCCGGAGAGAGACCCAAGAAAAGAAGGCCACTGGCGGATGAGCAGGAGGGCAGCCTTTTCACCTGTCCATGTTTTTTCCCACCTCCGAATTGTGTCTTCAATGCAACCATGGCCGCCACAACGGTTGATCTGCCCCTTAAAGAGGACATAGTTAACTCCACGTGGTGCAGCCAGGACTTTAGGCGAATGTAACAACGACGGTTCGATGTCCGCCAAGGAGATCAATCCAACGGCTGGACCACGGACTCCAACAACGAAGCCTCAGCAGCCCTTATGTATCGTCTCGAACGTGCACACTAGAGTCCAGATCCGAGCTAAGGTGATGGTGCATCAACCTGGAATCGAGAGCACAAGTGACATGGAGAGTGAAATAGACTCTACGACGCATGTCATCAGTCGCAACGGCTTCCACGGAGAGAAAGACGATCACAGATAGAGATGACTCGCCTAGTCCCATTTGTTTCGTCACAACCAGGGCACTCAAAGCCAAAAATTCAAAAGTCCACAGCAAGCTCATCAGGCAGGCTTTCAACACAAAGCACGCCGAAATTTAGCAAGAATAGTCTTTTTGAACATCTGGAACTGTCGAACATGTGAGATGGAACACAGAAGCAAGCGTCACCAGAATCAAAGCAAGCTGTCAAGCTGCACAACAGTAGTGCGCAGCACGTGGAATCGATTGATGCTCAGGAACAATGGAAATTGTTGCGCATAAAGCTATTGGAGCACCTGGCCAGCGGCCTTGCGAAGGTGATGGAAATCTATCGTAAGGGAAATTACCCATCACACATGTGCAAGAAAGCCTACGCACCAACAGCAAAGGCAGTCAGACAGTCAGCTGAGCCTCCGTTCAATCTCCAGCTCAATGTTACTCAAGTATCACGACTCTGCCGTTCCGCAACATGCCTTCGACAATGGACCCTGGAATGCATGCAGTTGGTTTCAAAAACTGACACCAGAGTTCTACTGGATCCCACTGTCCGAGATCGCGCTGGAAGCTCGTTGAAGCGTTTGAAACTTGTGCTTGAACGGGTGAATGGATGGATGAATGAATGAATGGATGAATGGATGAATGGATGAATGGATGAATGGATGAATGGATGAATGGATGAATGGATGAATGGATGAATGGATGAATGGATGAATGGATGAATGGATGAATGGATGAATGGATGAATGGATGAATGGATGACTGGATGACTGGATGAAGGGATGAAGGGATGAAGGGATGAATGGATGAGTGGATGAATGGATGAATGGATGAAGGGGTGAAAGGATGAATGGATGAACTGGATGAGCTGGATGCACATTGTATTCGTCGCAAGGGGAGCAACGGGAAGAAACGGAACAATGAATCTCCGAGGGTGTACTGAGAAATTCCTTTTGCTACAGCCAGGCATGTGAAACAGCTTGCAAGCTGTTGTTTCATGGGCTTAATGATCTGGCACAAGCATCCAGCTACAGCCTTCCATGGTGACGCCTGATGCGTCAAACATCTTCAAATGACAAAACGACATGCATTTTTTCGAGACACGAGTGCGAACGCTTCGGGAGCCGTGCGGCTGGAGTTCCTGATTCAACGATAACGCCTTGTCACCGTGCATTTCGTGCTGCAGCAGACTTCCAGCATGTTCTTCGTTTGCATGAAGATGTTTTGGCTGTTTCTAGTATTGTTTCTAGTGCGTACATCATTGACTATAGGGTATATGCCATATGCCGCCAAAAAGCTTCTGTTTCAGAAGGGGTCTGTTGCAATTTTTTCACCGGTCGGGTTGGTCCAGACTTATGATGTGATTGGACGAGTTGGAGAACTTCTACTGCATGTTTTTGCGCATCATGGAGCGACATGGTTAGACCCGTGCAATGGCGACTTTTGCAGTCAGTCCGGATCTTATGTGCTGCTGCCCAAAGTCGTCCGTGGCAACAGTCTGGGCAGAACATATGATTTTTTGTAGAGGACCGATTGGGAGGAACCGAGCGTTCCAAGACTTGTCTTATTAAGATTTGCAGAAGCTTTGAGGAAATGCTGGTGGAGCACCTGCTGCAGTGCGGTGGCCCAGTGTTGGCTTTGTGTTGTCGTGTTGCATGCTGCCGCCTTTAGCATCATTTCTGCTAAGTTGATCACCAAAACTTGTTCGCAAAGAGGCCCTTGCGGCGGCACAAGCTGCAGAAATTGCAGCGAGGTCACCCTGCATGCTTTCGTTTGCTTCCGAGAATCTTAGTGTCGATCGATTGAACCGTGGAGAATGTCCGCGCTGTGTGCAGTCTTCTGGGAGGCTTGGTGCCAGAATGGGTGAACCCGTCACTCAGCTGCAGGTCGAATGACTGTTTGTGGGGCGATGCTGCCGATGTTTCTTTGCTTCGGTCGGTCGCATGTTCATACATTCATACATGCAAGGTCATTGGCCAGCACACAAATCATGTGTTCCGTACCTATGTGATCGTTTGTGCAGGCAGAGAAGCTCAACAAGGGCGCGCTGCAAGGCAGGTTGTGGTTTTTGAGCAGAACAGATCATGGATGCAACTTGTGGGAGGTTTCGAATACCCCAGACGATATCCAGGCCGTGAGAAAGAACAAGCGTAAGGATGCTACGCCTGTTGTTTCGCGTCTGGGCTATCCAGAGCTACGACAATCTTCATGCTCTGACTGATGTGCAGAGGCTACTTGCCTGCAGTGCCATCAGAGCCGCTCTCGGGCAGTCTGTTGACTCCGCAAAGCACGAGCCATGTGCCCAGTCTGGCTCTGGTTCAGGCTCTCGCCTGGGCATCTTGCTCTCGCTCTCCCATGTTTCCGGCGTCTGTGATAGAGTCATAGAGCTGCAGAGCATGACCCAGGTGTGGGGCAGACCACAGCAGCTGAGGCCCAAGTGCTGCGAGCATTGCTTGTAGGAAGTCACCATGCAGGAACAGACGACAGAGGCTGCAGAGGGTCCAGTTTGTCGCTCCTTGGGATTTTCTCTGATGAGATGCCTTAGGGTCTAGCTTGTCGGCTCTCAGGGGTTGTCAGATGTTTCAGATGCATCGCTCATGTATCCGTATAGCATGTGGCTCAATCCTTATTGGGGTAGAGGGCTTGGGGCAGCCCCTAATGCCTCCAGTACTTCCTGTGCCTTGAGCTTAGCCTTGCATGCGGATCGTGGCAATCGTCGCTCCTTGTGCCTGTTAGTCAGTGCCAACCAGGCATTTCGGACTCGTTGACGACGAGCTTCCAAGCTGTTCAAGCCTCGACCCCGACGACGAGGACACTCCACTGCTCCGCGACGCGACGGTGCGAAAGTAACCTGTGCGGATGGCATTTGCTGCCTTCACTTCCTTCAGGACTGGGATTCATTAGCCGGGGCCTCGTCAGTCGCATGAGGGCTGCGATGACCATGGTATGTAGGTTTCATGTTTCCATGTAGCTGAAGCTTTGAGTCTGGGAGCTGTGGCTTGCTAAGGACACGGCTGAAGGTCCGTCTCAGGCCAGCAGGTTTTACTACTGCTGCGGGTAAGCTTGGACTAGGATTTGGGTCCTGCTTTGAGAACCCTGTCCAACACAGGAAGATGCCACCTCTGAAGAGATTTGAATTCTGATTCCAGGGTCCCAGTATGAACGGAGAAACGGTGGAAGCTTGCGGTGACTGTGGGATGGCCTAGCCTCATGCCTTGAGGTTCTACAAGTGGCGATGTTTCAGTTATGCCATGCTGCTAGTTTGGTTTTCGTCGCAGGAAAGAGACAACAGCCCATTGTGTGCTGACTCTCCACAAGATGCCGCAGCCGCAGCAAGGGTTGACCAGGCTTACCTGAGCCAGACGTGGCGAAATGCAGCTGTCAGAGACAAGGTGGACATTGCACCGATTCCTATAGCACCTGCCTATTTCGAAAGGGTCGATGCGAAGCCAGCCAGCGTCTCAGCTGTTGGCGACCGGGATTTGCAGGGCCGCAGGCTGATGATGGCCTTAGCATGACAGGCTCAAGGCAGAGTTGGAGCTTCTTTGCAATGTCCCATGCACCGATTCCTCTCACCGATGACTTTCTTCATGCCTTGTCTTGCCTTGATGTGAGAGACCTTTGCGCCAACGCAGCTGTGTCCATCTGCTGGAATGTGTTGGCCTGCCATGACATGCTGTGGCTTGAGCTTTGTAGACGTTTGTGGTCTACCAAAGTCAGCTGTTTCCATCTGACGGCTGCCCGCCTCATAAAGCTTCAGTCCAACGGGCACAGCTGGAAGGAACGGTACAAACAACATCTGGAGGACGGTGCGAGAAATTGCATCACCATGCAAGAGCTTACGACCTTGGTCTGGGATTTTACTTTCCGACTTCATCCTCAAGCGCGAGCCTCGGCGTCTTTCCGGTTTGACATGTCGGGACACGTTTCTGGGCACCCAAACGGCTTAACCTACTCGTGGCGGCTGAGCGATGACGGCCGGCGAGTGGAGCTGGGGCAATTCCCACAAGCAAGAGTCATACGGCGTGCGGACTGGGGTTGGGCTATCGCAAACAGCAACATCGTCTGCTGCTCACTGGAAGACGAGGATTTGACAGGTGAAGGCAGTGAGGGCGCCTCGGTGCTTCACCCGGAGCTTTTCGGTTTGGACCAACTTGGCCCCTCTTTGCAGCTCGTGCACATGCTCATGCGTCTTCAAAGGCCACCAGTGGGGTAGAAGGCTCCCAGGTCAAGCTCCCCTCCTGCACGCGGCGACGCAATCGAGAACGTTGTCCCGGCATCTTGCCACACCGAAGGTCTCCATCTCGAATCTCTTGCGCCGGACGTCTCTGCTCTCCGTGTCAGGTCCAGGTGGAGAGAACCGAAGCCGGGAGATGCAAAAGCAGCCCTGTGATGCAACGATGTTGTTGTCAGTGGCCGAACCGTACTTCTGGTCTGTCTGAGAAGCTTCTCCTCGGCATCAGGTGCTGCGATCGAGAGATCCGTCTCCCATGGGAATTAGTCAAAGGTGTGCCTGACAAGTTGCAGCTGAAAGTTTTCGGGTCTGCGGATCCTGGTTTGTCTCTCCAAAAGATCTGCCAGGACGGTGTCTCGTCCGACCACACCCATGAAAAAGGGCGAGGTGGGACGAGGGGCCGGGGTCCCCAATCTCGCTTTCGCCGTTTCGCTTCGGTCCCGGGTCTCGTGGGCCCTCTGCCCAGGTTCCGTTCCGAAGGCCCACACCTCCGGTGACGCCAAAGGATGTGGACTTCGGCCCGCTGCCTCAGAGACCTGTCTTCTCCTGCCTTGGCCTTTGGGGAGCCCTGCTGCGGTGATTTGCATCCCAAGGTCCAGCTTGTGATGCACAAGCCAGGATCAGACGAATCATCTCCCGTTCCGAGGTGAAAGCTGGGGGGCCCAGCACTCCAGGTGGTTGCTCCTTCCGGTTTAAGCCGCCTGGAACGGCAATCCTTCAATGTTCCACGACTACTTCAGCATCTGCAATTTGCGGTGCCTGTTTTCAGGACCCCGATCACGACCCAGTGCCTTCGAGCCCGGCTCCGCCAATGGCCCCGGCCTCGACGGTTCCGGTTGTGCCACCGCCTGGGCATGGCGGCCCGCACATCTTAGAGGACCGCTTGCCGTTGTGAAGCCTTGCAGAGCGGCTGATCTTTGCTTGGCGGCAGTGTGGAGCTCCTGTGAGGATTCCAGAGGAGCCATTGGCGAGTCTGACCTGGGGCTTCCAGGTTCTTCGCTTTTTTTGCGGACGGCGTTTGCTGCTTTTCGGGGCTGCGTGTGCACCCGGGCCAGGCACAGTTATGGATCCCATCTTGGAAGATGGAGGCATAGTTGTTGGCACATCGAGGAGCACGAGTCCGAGCTTGATTGATTTCAGCAACCCTGAACTCCTAAACCCCAAACTGTTTCCATAGTTGTTCCTCTCTGTTTATCGAGCTCTCTCTAAGGCCGAGCCTCTTCTCGCGCCTCCCGGCGCTCGACCACGGCGCCGCGCTCCTCCATGTTCCCGTGGATGGCGAGCCCGTCGGGCTACGGCCCTGGTTCAAGTCTTCTAAGGACCCCTTGCAGTCAGGATCTTGTTTCAAGCTTTTTTGGAGTTGTGGGTCGTGGGGGGTGGCTTTGGCTTTACTGCAGGGCATCTCAGGAGTTGTGTTTCGAAATTAGTAGCAGCAACAACCACGAATGCAGTGACGACACTGCAGCACAAGAGTTGAGTTGCCGCAACTTGCTCGAAAACGGAACAGGTGTGAAATGATGGCCACAGCTGTCCATGAACGCAATTGTCGGCTCATGCCACAGACAGCGACTCGAGCTGTGTCCTCCTGCCTGACGAACCTACCGGTGAGTGTTCCAAGCAAGGCCATACCCTGGTACTTGTAACTGCAGTTTTATTAAACAATCTCGTGATAACCGCAGTCATAGGGATAATGCAATGCGGAATATTTGTCATTGGCAGTCATAGCATAGAACTGGTAAAAATGGAGGCAGTGACCGTGAACCTGTCTTGGCCAAGGCTTGCGTGACATTGACGAAGGCCAGGCCGTTCCACCACTTCTCTCCTCTTCTTGAGCTCTTCCTGGTTTCAAGAGTCTCGGTTTCGCTGCTGGACGCAGAGTCTGTTCCTTCCAGGCATACCTATATCTGCCACCGGACCTCGATATGCGGGCACGCCTGCCCAGGCCAGAGGAAGGGTCTTGGAACGCGAGAACAGCGAAGAGCGTATGCCTCTTTGTGTTTCAGGCAGCAGAGGCGTTGCTCAACGCAGTGTCCGAGGCCAACGGAATTGAAGTTGTGCTTGGTGCTGCACTTGTCGGCAGTGCGATTCATGGTGCTGGCCTTTTCAAGCCAACCCAGATTCAATCAGCCGCCAGGCAGTGCATTCTCCGTTTTCTTCCGCTCCGGATGCTAGAGGAGCGGCTGCCAAGGCACCCTGCCACCACAAAAGGAAAGCACATGGGGAAGTCCGAAAATAAGGGACCCTAATACAGTACCCTAAATAGTAGGATCCTTTATTATAAGGACCCCTAAATATGGTACCCACATTTTCGGAGGTGTCAGAATCCGGTCATTCGTTGTGCGCTCCGTGCCAGGCCTCAATGCCGAGACACGTGGCGTGTATACGAAAGCAAGTTCTCGCTTCCAGGCCTGGGAAACTGAAGGGCTCTACAGAAGATGCTTGGTTCCTTCAGGTTCATAAACAAACAAGTAAAAAAATCAACAACTATATATATATATATATATATATATTTATTTATTTATGTGTGTGTGCAGTTTGCAGACTATGCAGTCACACATGCGTACCTACCTACCTACCTACATGCATATATATATATACATACATATATATATATATATGTAGATGTGTACATATATACATATATGTATGTACGTATGTAGGTATGTATGAATGTGTGTATGTATGCTTCTTTGTTTGTTTGCTTGCACATCTTCGACTTGAACCACGGGTCCTTCAAGGCATTCAACCTGCGAGCACTAGACGGCCGTCGGCAGTTGCTTTATGCAGCATGAAGAAGCTGATCTCTTCGGCTGGCAATCGTAGGAAGCGCGCAACACAGACGACATCGTTTCGCAACACAGGGATTCCATTCTGGGTTACAGATCAGCAGGATGCAGGCCCCTCGGATTTTTCTCTGCCAAAGCGCTCGCCTAGCTTTTGCAGGCGATTAGAGGAGCTGGATCTGTGCCCACTGGGTAGTACTCCCAGGAGGCAGTGCTGGCGAGATTTGAGTTTGAAGTTGTAGTCGGAGTAGAGGAGTATCTGTATCGCTTCAAGTCATGTGAATTCTAAGCAAGCTGGAGATGCGAGGTGTGTGGCCGCGCTCTGTCAAACTTTCGAACAGACTGCCAGGCAGCGTCCAGATCTGGCACCTGATGGATGAGCTGGTGCTTCCTCATCTTCGTGGCGCTGTTTGAATTCCAGCTTCTGGCGACTGCCAAATGCTCTGCAGTAGCAGTTCGCGTGCCTCTAGAGGCCTCGCGTGTGAGGCCTGTTTTATCGTCCCTTTTGAGAACACTCACAAAGTCTTAGAGCCATCTCAAATCTTGCTGCCGTCCTCGTGTCCTTTCCGGCGGCGCAGCTGGAAAGGGCCAACACAAGGGGAGCAAATGGAGCCAATAGATGCTCCTTGCATAGGGCAATTCGGTCTCACCTTTTGCAGGTCCTGGCAAAGTTAAGGAATTGGTGGAGCCGGATCTAGATCGATAAGGACACTGTTTCTGAAAGCTTTCGGCTTTCGCCGGGATGCAGAGAAAGTCAACTCGTGACGAAGTCACTTGATCCTTAGGGTCTCGTTTCACAGCCGTGAACACCGTCGGTTTCCGGAACATTATGGTAGGCACACGAACAACACACTTGCGAGAAACACAAGTAAGGATGGGAGGATCCGATCTGAGAAGGCGACTGAGGCACTCCTGGACGTCCATGAACTCTCAACACTCCGACCATTTTGGCGGCAGAGCTGGGAATGCCACGTCGCCTGTTATTCAGAATATCCGAGTGCTTGGTGAAGGCCTGAGCACTTGGGCAAGAAGCCATGATTTCCTGATGGAAATCAAACTCCACTCAGTAGGAACATCCTTGACAGGGGCACAGAGTCCGAGAGGTTTGACGGTTCTGCATGTACACCGATGCTTTCAAATTTCTGTGTTCCTGACTTGGAGGATCGCATATGTTGTGCAGGCAACATACCCGCACATCCCCTCTCACTATCTCACTTTCTGTGTACCCGGCTGGATCATGTCACTTAGAGTTCCGAGAAAGCCTTAGACGAGCCAGTGAGCAGAAGTGCCTACGCTGTCACGGCGAGGGCATGTAGCTATGGCCAGAGGGGTACAAGATTTACAGGTGCATTAGCAGTGCATTTGGGCTGCGGTCCTTTGTTTTTCTGGCCCGTGCAGCTAGAAGAGCCGTCAAATGCTATTCTGGGAAACCAGCAGGCCGTTGAACTGTATTGTCTTCGATTTGGGTCGATTGAATAGGCCATGCTGCACAGATTCCGGGCCCGCAAATTATCAGAGAGCTGGCTGTTCTTGGGGCCAGTCTTGTAGCCACGCAGCATTACCACTTCCATTTAGGTGTTGGGGAGGAAGCCTTCATGCAAAGCTTCTCAGCTCGGATTGGTCGAGAGTAAGCCGCTCACCTGTCCGTAGTTCTGGTGCAAGAGCCCTAGTAGGTTCCAGCATTTACCAGACAATCTCACGACGGAAAGATCTCTGAGCGCAGAGGGATCGAGTTTCGCCGCTTGGGTGACCTTCTCTGGAGCTGCGCAGGTCAATGCCCCCTTCGAGGTCACTGAGGACCCCGATACGCCAGCACCACTGCCAAGGCCATCATTATCCTGTCTCCCACTCTTCAGGGTCTCCCCTAAACCCTAAACCCCCAAGCCTTACATCTAGATGGTCGCATGCCAGGCTTGGCGGATCTGCCGGTGATCGTCAAAGGCTAAGTGTCCTGCTTGGCATCGGCCTCTTTTCAGCTCTGCCCGCTTCGTCTGGGTTTGCCCAAGAGCGCTCTTCAACACCCTGTTGTGGGACCCTAGCTATGATGTATGTTGAGACCGAGGGCCACACTCTTCGTCTGAAAACATATTGTTGATGACAAGATCCTGCATTGCCCATTACAAGGAATATATCATAGTTCCCATAGTTTAGAGTCCTGAGGGTCATGCAGGATTTTGTCCATCAACAGTATCATTGAGGTTCTGGTGGCAATGCTGGTGTGGGGAGCTGGCAGGCATTCGGGTTGACTGTTCCGTGGGCAGGGACGAGCAGGGATGTATACTGGGAGCTCGCGGCGCATGCAGCTGACAATAGTGCTCCGAGGCACCTGCGGGCTCCAATCATAGGTCACATTTTTCAAGATGGCCGAACCTTGAACACCCTGAGCCTGTGCCTGGAACCTATCATGCACCGAACCCAAGCAGAATAAGCTGCGGAGGCGCGCCGTGGAAGCCCACCTCCCGTGATGCCTTTGGATGTAGGCGGCGTACGCACGCATGGCCCTTGCAGTCTATGTGTGGACAGGTGAGATGGAAACTCGGGCTCGCTAGTGTTGTCAGCAGGATGCTCCTGCATGCCGCATGTCAAGTAGGATTTGCATTTGGGTTTGAGTGAGTGTACCTAGCGTTCCTCCGTGTGCGTTTTTACAAGAGAAAAGTCCGGAGGCACCGAGCCCGTTTCTTTGAGTGCTGGGGTGTCGCCACGCCCGCAGGCTTGCGGGCCAAGACACAGTGTTGGTCTTTCGGTCCTTTGATGTTTGGGGTTCGTTTTGGTGGCATGGATACGGTCTGCGTGCACATCGTGGCAAATTGAAGTGTCGGAGAGGGGAGGAGTCGATCGAGAGTTGCATTTGTTGAGTATAGCAGAAACACGATCTTTGCAAGCTGCTTCGGAGGTGTTTGACCTTGTGAAGAAGATACGAGCAGTCGAAGTCTTGAATTCCCATCCAGGCAAGGCTGGCCATGCGGGAAAGGCAAGCGATGCCCAGAGTGCCTCCTGTGAATTTGGAGGCCCGGGCCTCCGTCGTTTGTATCGAAGAAACGTTCGTGATCTGCCTCGGAGAGGCTATGCGAATCGGCAGCGAGATGACCGGTACACCGCCAAGCCAGGCAGGGAGAGCAAGGGCTCCCGTCTCGAAGCCAGGACCAGCGATTTCGCAAACGTGCTTCTCTTGTCAGGGAGGGTCGGCCAAGCCGAGTTCCCGCGGCTGGAGCCATGGCCCCGCAACCTTGTCTCTGCCTCGGCTGGTCGCATTGCCTCGCACAGCTTTCCGGCCGTCGCTGCATCGCCACATCGGCCCAGGGACGAGCCGCCCCTTGTGCTTGCGACAGGTGTTGAAGGCCGACAGTTCCAGGCTTGTGGGCTTGGGCTCGGACTGGCTTATGGACGTCTCCCTGTTGCGAACTGCGGAGGCATCGCTCCCGATGCCGCCTACAAGTGTCCGGGCCCCAGGAGAAATTCTGAAAGACGGAGCTGGAGTCACTTCGATCGTCAGACGAGCTGCGTTTAGCAAGGTCCCGACTTCGCGGCGTGGAAGAAGCAGGCCACCTCGCAACTTGAAGGGGCTGGCCACGAGCAAGACCTCATCAGACTAGAACAGACATGGGTTTCGAGTGCCCAATGCAGGCCGTCGAGCCCTCAACCCAGTGATTCCGGTCTGGAGGCTCTCGAATTCACAAGCCTCAAGCCGTCATTTCGCGTCAGGAGCTGCGCCGCTGTGTGTGGGTTCGGTCTTCTCTGGGAGTCTCTGCAGCCGCCGGCCGCCGGGCTCCACAGGGCAGTAGCAGTCAGCCTTGTAGCCTGGGCCGCCTGGGCCGCAAGAGGCGCCGAGGCGCTCATGGCAGGCCCCGAGCTCCCAGGAAGCTCCTTTTGCTCCAAAGAGAGTCATGCGCACGCTCCGAGGTCCAGATGGACCAGAGGCCCGAGCCAAAAGCTATGGAGCTACGCAGTCCCCCCCTTCCCCCCAAGCTGCACAAAATCGAGGCACTCCCTGAATGGCCAGGCACCACCAATGGATCCCCCGGCTGGGGGGCTTGACATGCCCTTGCAGCCGCCACCGATCGAGGCAGCACTGGGTCACTGGGTGTCATGGCGCAAGAGAGATGCAACTGCCCAGAAGAGAGACACATTGTTATTGTTGGAGGCCAACGGTCCCATGAACCCGGAACGGCCCAAATTCGCACATTCCTGATGCTGAATTCAGAACCTGCGCTTTGCAGCTTGGCAGGAGCCCGCTTTTCCTTTTGAGAGCGAGCTGGCAGAGGAGCGCGATCATGTGCCTTGTTCGATTATCTTCTATTTGGAGCCAAGAGCTGTCTCTTCAACCAGGATGAAAGAAAGAGATGGTTGATTCTGCATGTGGCTTTGCCACGTCCGGCGCTTAGCTGTTTGGAGAGATCCAGAGCAGGTGGCCTGGCTCTAGGACTCGGGTACCGAGAGTTCTTCAGACTTGCTCCACTGCGGCCATGCACAGGCACCATCATGACCTGCGACATGGCCCTGGGAAGAAGCACAGAGGCGCGCGCAGTGCCCGTGTCTCAGTGTCAAACACTGTTAGTATACTAGTGTTGCGCATCGCAGGACGAGCTGAACGACGCCAGACCCTCATCTTTTCGGTCATTTCGGGGTTGAAGGCTGTCAAACGCGGGGCACCTGCTGCGAAGAAAGGGATAGGACGGAAGCCATTGCTGCAGCGATTCTTCCCGAATACGCAGCAGGAGGGTCCTGTTTTAACACTTTATGAGGCTGTGTGGGTCAGGATGCCGAATCGCTGCACAGCATTCGCGAGCACTCTCAAGCGTTCGCAAGCTCCCGCAAGAATTTGCAAGTGTCGTGGGGATCAATGAGGCAAGCTAAGGCGAGGTGTGTCCATGGATCATGGGGCAAATCCACTCACATCGCAGACAGTGTAGCGGCCAGAACGGTTCTGAGAGCCTTGCTGAGGCTCTATCTAGCTTGGCTTGGGGGTCCGTCGACGAAGAATCAGGTGAATGGGCCTGGGACCAAGCACCCGGAACTGCATTCCAGCAGCCAGAAGCCCTGCAACGCACTGAGACGCTGGAGTCCCCGGATCCGTCACTCGAGCCTCCGCACTCCTCGCTGATCACGTGCCCGGACCGTGGGGTCTTTCACTGATTGGGTTTCATGGCCGGTGCACAGGTACTCCGAGTATGTGGCGCGAGCATATCCAGCCGATCCGACCATGGAGGACAAGGCCCCACCTTTTTTTCAGCGCCTGAGTTCCGGAAACCGGGAGAGGCACTCGGCCTGGGCCTCACGCCTTTCTTCAGGCGCGGGAAGAGAACCTCAAGCTGGGTGCTGGCAAGCGATGTTGCTTCACCTGCCCTGGGGAGCCCGGCACAAAGCGCGCCGGCCCAGAGTTGATCCCGTATGTGTCGGTTTTCAGCAACCGCTTGCCTTGCCAGGTTCCGGCCCATGTATGATCAGATGATCAAGAACCTTCAGCACTCCAACAAGGCCGATGATCTTCGATTTCGGAAAAGGGCGCACAGTACTTTGCTGTGAGCCAGGCCCTTGCCAAAGCCTTCGGCATCAAGAAGGCAGCGGATTCATGCGAAGCGAGAGCCATGGTCCCTGAAGTCTCAGGTGGCTCTGAAGGAGGATGAAGTTCCTGAGGATCCTACAAAAACGGAGGCAGCACATCAAGGATGCACTCCGCAATGAAAAATGCACACATGAAAGCTGCAGGCACAAAACATCATGCGGTTTGGGCGACACCAGATTCTTCCGTCCTTCTGGTACTTACTGGTGGCCGCCCCGGTGCTTCTGTTTTATTCGCGTCCATCACCTGTTGGATTTCCCGCCGTCCTCAATACTGGAAAGCTCAGATTCAGCTGACAAAGCGCGGCAGACGTTTCTCAGTCGTCTTCCGCTCCTTCAGCGAAGACCAGCTCGTTCAGGCATGAGATTGGATCTTGCAGTGCTGCTCATAGGCTGCAGGAAGGAAAGGCATGTCCAGGGCATCGTGATGGTGGAAGTCTATTCACCCTTGTCAGGCGCAAAAGGAGCTGCAGCACATCTCTCAGACGGCTTCTGTGAAACGGGCACAGTATCTGGCCTTTGCTTTCGGCGGCAATTTCGTCCGAGCTAGGAGGGGTGGATTAGTTTTGAGTTTTGGGGGGTCTCGTTCGTCGATTTTGCCGCTTCGTGGGGTTATCATGGCATGCCCGGTTTCGATCTCAGCAGCAGTGTCGCAACATGAGGCTGTTTACGCAATGCCAGCACCCAGCCTACAACGGTCAGAACAAGACCCAGAAGCTGCTGGTCTGCAGAAGAAGGCTTATACTATCTATCTATCTATCTATATAAATAAAAATAATGATAATAATAATAGTAATAGTAATAATAATAACAATAATATTAATGATAGTAATAATAGTTTTAATCATGATAAAATATTAAACAAAAAAAATATATCATATTATTATACATTATTATATTGTATTATATTATATTATGTTATGTTATATTATATTATATATTATTATAGTATGTTATATTCTATACTCTATAATATATATATATATATATATATATATGTATATAGATCTATATATATATATATATATATATGGTCACCCCCCCCCCCCATGACAGACCATCCCCTTTAAAATATCGCTCCCACCGGCGTGTTCGTGCTTTTTCCGGAGTATCGAGTTTGAGCCCTCCGAACGTATCCCTGGAACCACCAAAAGACTGAGACCAGAAAGCAGCACGATAAGGCGCGCGGGTGTCCTACCAAGAAAGGAATTACAGAGCACACGTGTATGGATGAGGGTTGTGCTGACACACTACATAGTAAGCACTACACAGTAATCTTACTTGAGTCATATATAGAGCAGATTCCAGCATTTCCAAAATTTCCAAAATTCTCTCCCCTAACTTTCCAGATTTCCAAAATTTCCAAAATTTCCCAAAATTTCCCGACCTAGTCGACAGGATTTTTCCAAAACATAAGGGCGGACTTTTTGGAAATTTTGGAAATTTTGGAAAGTTTGGAAATTTTGGAAATTTTGGAAATTTTGGAAATTTTGGAAAGTTAGGGGAGAGAATTTTGGAAATTTGGAAATTTTGGAAATGCTGGAATCTGCTCTATATATGACTCAAGTAAGATTACTGTGTAGTGCTTTTAACACTAACGTTGACATGTATATTAATGCTTTCATTTCGAATATGCACATTACTAATTTTATTATTAACATTAATACTCCTACGCCTACCAATAGTCATATTCATATTGATATTAATGCCAATACTAACAGACACCTGCGTATATTAATGTCCGCAGATATACATACCACTATCTGAAAAGCAAATATATCAATGCATTCGTGTACTAACGTAGTATATTCGTATTTAATTTGTCATATACCCAGTTTCCAACGTGACAATATACTACTTGTTAACGTCTGATTATACTGTATTGATATGCTAACTTGCTAAGACACGAATACTGTAATATGCAAGTACACTGACACATGGCAATGGTATACTAACATATGGATATACCAAAAAAGTTGTTAGATAATATACGAATATGATAAATGAAGTAGCATACCAGGATACTCATACACTAATATGTTAATAATCGAAGATAATAGCACACCAATATACTAATGTACTCATGCACGAACGTACGCATGCATTAATATACTAAGAGCATACAAACATGCAGGTATACAAACATATTACTGTTCGAATACATTATAATGTGTTGGTATACTAAGCTGTTTATATAATCTATCAGTATACTAATATATCAAAACTAATTATAGTATTGATACGCATACTAGCACGTCCGCGAATATTACACTGATGTTAAATTCATCATTAAGACTGATTAAAACTGACATCGACATTGGCACTGGCATCAACACTAATTATCACTAAATATGCTAGTGTACTAATATACGAATACTGTAAAAGGCAAGTACACTGACATGTTCACATGCCATTATGCCAACATATTGATATACCTATAAGCTATTAGGGAAAATACGAATATAGTAAATGTAGTAATAGACCACTATAATAATATACTAATATACTACTACGTTAACATACGAATATCATGATACACCAATATACTAATGTACTCATGCACCAACGTACTAATATATTCGCGCAATCTTCAACTCTGCAAATATACTATTGTTCGAATACATTACTGTATTATTATATTAAGCTCAAAATGTACGAATCAATCAGTATATTCACATATCAAAACTATTTCTATTACTGATACTAATACCAGCACTTCTGTGAATAATAAACAGATACTAAAACCAGCATTCAGACTGATACTAATACTAACACGAGTACTATTACTGACATTGACATCGACACTGGCACTAACACCAGCACGAACATAATCACGAGTTCATATTTACTATTATTGATATGTATACTTTTATTCAATACTAATACTAATACTGATGCTAATACTAATACTAAATACCAATACCAATACTAGTACTAAAGCAATACCCATCCTAATATCAATACTACCACAAAACTATTACTCATATGAACACTGATACCAGGATTAGGACTACTACAAACAATGACAGCAGTACGAAGAATAGAACCAAGAACAATACATATTAATCCTAACACTAATACTAGTACTAATACTAGCTACTAATCCAAATACTCATACTCATACCAATACTAATGTCACCACTACTGCTGCTACTACTACTGCTACTACTACGACTACTACTACTACTACTACTACTACTACTAGTACACATACTTAATACTAAAACTAATACTGATACTCATACTAGTCACTAATACTAATACTAATACTCATTCTAATACTAATACAAATACCAATACTAATGCTACCACTACTACTGCTGTGCGACAACTATTGCTAGTACGACGACTACTACTATTAACATCAATACACATACTTAATGCTAATACTAAGAGTAATACTAATTCGAATACTATTACTCATACTAAACATCCTAATATCAATACTACCACAAAACTAATACTAATGCTAACACTGATACAAGAATTAAGATCTACAAACAGTAATAGTGGTACGAAGAGCAGAATTGAGATTAAGATTGGGACTAGGAGCGCTGCATGCGTGTGAAGAAATTTCCAAAAATTGCAAACCACCTAAAAGAACATTTTGGAATTGAGTTTGCGAGAAGTGTCTGTCGCCTATCCGTTGACAGATCCTGCCTGGGGACGCACGCCACCCTTCCCCTTCCCCACGACGGTCTGTCATGGGGGGGGGGTGAGCATATATATATATATATATATATATATATTACCAAAACATTTTATGACGTTAGCTTCGGGTTTTTTCATCTATACTGGGCTGCATGGCTTCTTAGCAAGGTGTAGCATCGCGTGTCCTTTGCGACTTCCAAGGCCTCCTCTGATGGACGGCAACAAGGACCGCTCCGGGTGCAACTTCTGTAAACTCGCTTTGAGCCCTCTCCGGTAAGCCTGGCAACGCAAGGGCTCCAGAGACATGCGCCTGTCGCAAGCAGCGATCGGACGCCTTGGCCTCGGAGACTTCGATGCTCTTTATTTTGCTGCTTGCCTCTTCGCAGGCATGGATCGGATGGGTGGCTTCCTCCGCTTCAGAGACCGTCCTGTAGAGTCCTGGCCCCATGTTCGACGCCTCGCCTCCGGGCGAGCTCGGATAGGAAACGCCTCCCAGGTTGGCAGAGCCGGTGCCGGCCGAGTCAGCGGAGCCGCAGGCCGGGCCCATGCAGTGCAGGCTGCAGGCATCAACAGCGTCAAGCATTCCCAGAAGTTCCGAAGCGGCGTCTCCTTGCAGGCAGATTTGCCGGAATCGGCTTTCAGGCACGTGGCCGTAGATGCTGGGGGTCCGTATGTCTCTGTGGAGCCAGGCCTACAGAGTACACGTTTCCTCCGTACCACGAAGCGTACGCCGGCCTGATGCGCTTCCGTCGAGTTTGATGCAGACCGGACCTGGAGTCACCGAGTGTTCGTGCTGTTTAAGTGCTCAGAACGGCCCGGCCCCGGCCAGGCACCAGATTCTGCAAACAACAAATACAGCTGCGATCGTGGATGATCTCGCGTGGCCCACTCAAGTGCTCGGAGTGCAGGCCAGTGCAGCCATGCTGTCGATGCTTTGTCCCCAAAGGTTTTGGGAGACCCACGAGCGCGTCAGCACAGCTGGGAAGATGCTGCTGATCGATCGTGCTGAGACCAAGGCCCGCGACAGGAGAAACTCTTTTGATGTGATAATGTCGTACCCACTTTGGAAGGATCGACTCGGGAGGTCGCACTTTGGAGTTCGAATCGAAGTGTCGAAAGGACACCCCTACCCCCCTCCGCCCCTCCCCCCCAAAGCAACCGAAGCATCGCGTGCAAACGTGCCTGACGCACCCCAGTCCCAGGGCAAGTCGGAGGAGGTTAGGGATCAACGTTCAGATGAAGGGAGGGGGTAGACAGAGGAGGAGGACCAAAGATGCCGAGGAGACGGTGAGCAGGACGAGTGGGAGAAAAAGGATCATCAGGAGCAGCACAGCGGTATGAGCACGCCAGCAATAGGATCAGCGGCACGGATTGCTTGAGCAAGCACTGCGACAAAATGCTCCTGACGGGTTCGTCTGGAGGTCCAGCACATATTCTTCGACGGCAACGTCGAGAAGGCACCTCTTGAGCAACAAGATGTTTTTTGGGAGCCTGGCCCATCGGGTCCGAAGAGTGGCGCTTGTGCCCTGTACGGGTGCTCACAAGCTGGTGCCAGGAGGATGCCGCTTGTGTCGATGTAACTTGTCTGAATTTGTCAGTGTTGTACTCCAGACGTGCCAGTGAATCATCTGCCTCTGCTGCATGGCAGGTTCGAAATGCTGTGAATGGAGAGCCGATTCCGTTGGAGAAGTCTTCAAACGTGTACTTGCATCGTGTTGACTTCTTCCAGGCTGCTGATACAGAGTTCTACTGCAGCTGAAACAGACCATCACGTGGCCCAGATCTCACCTTCTGCACAGGCAGTGACTGATGTCGAGTATTTCCTCAAAGCGACAGAGGCATGATCCCGACGTTGAGCAGTGCTGGGACACAGACAGTCAGTCTTGGTGTCTGCCGACAGGCATGCGAGCTTAGCATGTCCAAGATGATCGTGGAGGAAGGGTTGACATGAGTTGACTATTGCCCCATGCTCCGAAAGCTCTGCTTGGGCCCGTTGGTTCGGTCTGAGCCACCATCAGGACAGACATGCAGAAGGCGTGGTCAGGGCACTTTCCGAGGAGGACTCTGGACGAAGTTCGCAGGCACGCCAAAAGTCAGCGAGATCGCACGTGCCTGCAGGAGCAGAAGAAAGCCGCGGCGGCTGCGGCTGCCATGACTCCCAAGGCATGCTTGCATCCCGCCATGGGTTTGTTGACATGTCTAGTCTATGTAACCAGGCCTACAAGACCTGTGTCAAGTTCAGTTGCGGAGTGGAGTGGGGTAAAAGGTGCCATTAACAACTGGAAATTGGGTTGTCTGTTGAAGTTTGATGAGGCTATAAGGAATTATAGGTATAGATACACGAATAATAACCCTACTTACTACGTCCCGTGATCCTTTAAGTAGGTCGAACGTAGCTTTGAGCGGCCTCTGGGAGCATGCAGAAATGGCTCCTCGCCCGCGTCCGTTCTGAACTCTAAGCCGTTGCCCAAGCTCTCCCCCCTAAACCCTAAATCCTAAACCCTAAACCCTAAATCCCGAACCGTTCCTGCGAGGAGTGGCTCTACCGGAACATCATTCCGGCCCTCCTGCCCGCGCTGGAGGCGTTGCGTCGGGATTTGTGGGCCTTTGGTAATTCGGAGCTCAATCCACCGGCTAGCGTTTCCCCATCAGAGCAGAAATGCAGCATACCATGTTTTCAGGAAGTAGGTTGTGCTCATTCCTGCCTGTGAACAGCCCCACGTCCAACGGCGTCTAGCTAGCGAATTATCACGTAAGATGTGACGTTTTCAGCTGATGCCATGCCGAGCGCGACTTTAAAGTATGATACAGGATTATGCAGTGCGTCGATGTAGTGCGGTGTAGTATGGTAGAGCGAGAGCACATCACGACTTTGTTTAGCAAGTGATGAGCCTTACGGACGAGACCCTCAGAGTCTTTGCTGCCAGTGCTTCCACAGGCTTGCCAGCGGGACCGTCCCGAGGATCCCATCGAGTTGGAGCCCTAGACATCGTCATCCCGTCCAGGGCAGATCCTGGGGTGCGGGCTGGGTGCAACATCTTGGTGCTGTTTGCTCTCTTCACTTCACACAAACCAACACCTTGGTGTTTTCCCTCAAGGCCTTGCCAGTGTTTCCTTCCACAGATGTTGTGGAAGAGCTAGGCATCAGCGGTTGTCGTCCGCGGGCCTTTGATAGGAACTCCTTGGGATCCGAGGGTCTAGTTCAAAACGGGTTTTGAGCCTCAGCTGGGATGCGCGCCATCCATCACCAATCTGAGGTTTATTGCATTCTATATGCTTCGCCACTCGAAGCAGCACTGCACTGAGTCGATCGTGCCAGCTTTGGTTGCAGATGGTTTGTTTGTGCTTCCCTGACAACCAGTGTTAACCGAGGTATTCAAAAACGTTGAAGGCATAGATCTGTGTAGTTTCACCTAGCTGCGGTGCTTTCGCCCGTTGCAAACGACCCAGCCCAGCAGAAGCCTTAAGATGCTAAGCTGTCGCAGCGTGCTCCATCGAAAGATCGTTGCAGAAGACCTGCATCGACAGAGTTTCGAAGCAGCCTGAGGCACCAAGCCAGGACCACTCGTAGCATAAGAAGTTTCACCCACTGTGCATGCAGATGTTAAAAGTATCGAAGCCCTTGACGGCCATGGGTGGCCAGCTCACAGGGTATCCGTTGTAGTTGCGAGCTGTGAAACCTTGCCTGTCACTACCTGCAGGCTCTGCCACCAGTCCCCACGGCCATGTGGTTCGCCTCCAAAGCTGAGGAGCTGGAGAGGCGACGAAGTGACCCCACCCTCACTGACCGATTGACTGCTGCGCTGCTGATGCACGCGAGCATATGTGGAGAGACATTTCCAGAAGCAGATCGGTGTCTGAGGGAAGCAGCGACCGAAGACTCTCGTAGCAGGACGAGCTGGCCTTTGCTCGGGTTTCTGAGAGTACTTTTTGGCAGCATGCAGGCGGCGCAGCAGAAGCGTCGACCGACTGGAGGCGTCGTGCACCGGGAAGTTGGAACTTTGGTTGTCCACATTGGACCTTCCGGGGAAGAGTCTTGATCCCTGATGACTCTATCGAGTGGGGTTTCTACAGCAGCCTCCCCTGCGCTTCAGAGCCATCGTGTCCATGAGACCTCGGCCCGATTTCATGGATGTGTTGCAGGCACTTGGCTTTGCTTCGGTCTGGCCGCCGCCACCGCTGCCTCCCCTCTCTGAGGACCGGGCTTCTTTGGGCCGACGTACTCGGAAAGCTTGAAAGTTCAGGGGCCTAGTTATTAGTTCGAGCAGGAGCTGCGACAGCGACTGGAGAGGCTGGAGGTGCCTGCATCAAGCTTCAGACCGGAGGTGGGATGTAGGTGTAAGGAGTGATGCACCTGTGCACATCTACTCTCGCAAAATGGGATTATAGCCTCGTCCGGATTCAGCAACGCGAGATAGAGTTTTGAGCAAAACTATTTTGGGGTTCCTTATTATAGGTATAATATATACCCCCAAGTCATTTCATGAGGTCGCATGGGCGAAAATGTTGCAAGGAGTCGAGACCCTTCGTATCCCGTCCTTCCCCCGAGATCCTCGAAGCCAGGGAACAAAACGACGACAGAGAAGGCGCTTGCTCTTGTAGATCACGATAATACTACAATAGTAGTATATCACGATAATAATACCAAAAATATTCGTACATATTCGTACTATAATGACACTATCGTAACACTTAGTGTCGCAATGGCAAGGGAGAGGGAGCCGCTCTTCCGGGAGCCCTCGACGCCGCGCATCCTCATCGAGTCGGATCGCCCCGCGAGGGCTGCGACCCCGCCGGCAACGGCCCCGGCCCTGAGCTCCGATGTCGGCCTGAGCCTGAGCCTCGGCGAGTCTCGCCGGGACTTCCGGCCGGCCACGAGCGAGCGAGCGAGTCTCCGGCTGGTGGAGCAGACGAAGATCGATGATCCAGACAAGTTTAAGATTTGGGATGTGGGAGGAAGGGCCAACACCCCCATCTCCTTCTGGCGCGAGGAAAGGCAGTACGAAGCCGCTGCTGAACAAGCCTTCGGCACATCATCTACGCCTTGGTCGAATCTCTCGCACAAGAAGGTCCGAGCCATGCAGGAGAAGGGGCACATGCGGGCCCTGCTGCTGGGCCCCTCACAGGCCTCCACACCTGGCCCGGAAACGCCGCGGGATTTGAACGGTCTCTGGATCTCCACAGATGGGGAGCTGCGAGGGGAGGTAGAGGGAGACGTCTTGCGCTGGGACTGCGACGGCTCTCGTTCACGGCTGCGGCTGACTGGTGAGCGCCAGGAGATCGTTTCTCTCGCCGTCGATGGATGCCGGCACTTTGGAGCGCTAAGCGAGGATGGACGGCGCTTGCTGTGGGCCGACGGAGATGTTTGGGTGCGACACGACCAGGAGGCGCAGGCTCTCGCGAAGGTTGTAAGGGACCAGTGCGGGGGCGGCTGGCAGCCAGCGCAGCCCCAACCCGCGAACGACTGCGAGCTGGAGCCTCAGAAATCGAGTAGGCAAGTTTTCTTTTGATGCTTCCTACCCCAGGAGGCCGTCAGATGCTGGCCCGCCTGTCGGTAGGATGCCCAGCGGCCCTTGCAGCCTTTGCAGACTCCTTCTGGGTGTCCTTGGCCTAGGCTGGTCCAAATGGAAGCTTCGATGGCGGCCAAACTCCGATGGTCCGGCCTGGCCTAGGCACAGCAAGCATCGAAGAACGGGGGCCAAGGGGGCCTGGGGCCTAGGGGTCTTTGACACAACCTATATGGCTTCGGGGCTGCACACACTCTCCGACCCGTCGAGTGCTTGTCCTTTGCGCATTAGCGTTGCAACTGACAGGCTGCAAAGGTTTGAAGTCTTCATGTCTTTGCATGCTGAGAGCACGGCCGCCTTGCATCCGCTTCCGAGCCTTTGCAGGCAGACTTAAGCCGGGGTATGGCTAACACATCGGAGATGCATAGTTTACAAGACCGGTTTTAGATTTGGCAAGATGCTGCAATTGCTCGCATCCGGGATCCCTAGACCCGACTCCGCGAGAGACTGCAGATTGCAGAGCACGTAGTGCCTCCTGTCGGTTCTGCGCCTTGGGCACATGGAAGCCGGCCAGCTTCCCGGAGCGATCGGTCTCTGGTTGTTTGTGGTGTCATCGATGCCCTCACTAGAGGTGCTCAGAATGGCGGATACAGTGGGCAGAGTCGCTTTGATCCTGAAGGCATCCGGCTCAGATCGGTTCGCGGCTCGCACTAGACTTCGGAAGAGCTCGGTTCTGTCCAAGGTGCATGCGCCAGGGCAGACAGCCACGTTGTGCAGTCCGCCAGAGGGCGCGCGGCCAAGACCAGAAAGCTGGGGAGCTGTGCATTGCGTCGCTTGCGAGGTGTTGCATCCTTTCGCTGGATGCAGAAGTGGCTTTGGCATGACTTGCACGAGAGATTTGAGTGGAGCCCCCGGCTTTTGCCAGGCTCTTCTCCCGGCTGCAGCCGCTTGAAGGCAACGTCTTCGGCTGCTGCCTTCTCGGCTCCTTGCCGGAGGCGAACCCCCAGAAAGAGCCGGGAGCCGGCCGCGTCAGGATCATGGGACTTATATAGTAGTTACGGTTATTGTGAGGATAACTATACATATAATTGCTTATAACCCCAATGAAGGTACTTATAACCATACTTACTAAGTCCCATGACCCTCCAAGTAGCGGTGTCGTTGCAGGTGAGCTCGCACCTATGGCAGCACCAGGTCTCCCAGCAAGATGTTTCACCTCGATACGATGGCTAAATTCTTTGCATCTTTGAGGCCCTGTGGCTGCGCCTTCAGATGCAGCCCATAAGAGAGTCGGAAGACTCCGAGTACATTTCTGTCCCGGCCTCTGCCAAGGGAGAAGCTGTATCTCAGCGGCAATCGATTCCGTGCCAGTTCCCGAGGTTCAGTTTTCCGAGCTCGTTGACCCCCTGGCGGACTCTTCAAGATGGCGCTATGCATGTGCCTCAGCATTCTGCATGCAGAAGGTCTTGCAGTTAGCTTTTGTCATTGATCGTCTTTTGGTGATAGCTTAGCATAGTTAGTATATTCAATCATGTGATGCGACAGAGCTAGCACACAGCCTCTTGCCGACGGCCTTCGCTCACAATGCAGCGCTTCTCTAGCCGATGTGGCTCGCAGGTGTGCGCGGGAGGGTAACCGAACGCCGCAAGCCCGAACAATGTATCCTCCGTTCATTACGGTGATGGTCCGGCAGGAGCAGGCTTCTCGTCCCGATCTGTCTGCAGCGGCTGACACTATACTGTAGGATACTACAGAAAACAAATAAAGTGTCTTATATGGTCGTTTAGTATAGAATAATATGTTATGTTATAGTATATTATAGCATCTTATCATCTACCATGGGACTTTGCAAGCTGCCGAAGCCCTTCAGAAGAGGAAGAGGTGATGCGAAGGCCGTGGCCGCGTCTCGAGCCATGGACTTCCGCGTGGGCGACCTGGTTCGCCTGGTCGGTCTCAAGAAGGACGGGTCAAGCTCGCCTCTCCTTGGGTTTCTATGTCATATGACTAATATGCTACAAGGCTACAATGCACTAGAATCGACCGTAAGACACTGTAGGATCCTATAACTAGATTATACTGTGATATGCTACAGTATACTACAACAGCAGGCCAAGACTGTCTTTGGCTTTCAGGAGGACTTCAACCACCACGTGGGGCGGGTCGTGACCTTGCCTGCTGCAAATGGCCGAATCGGGGTTTCCCTGCACGGCGCAGTCTGGGAAGAGCCGGAGAAGCCGGCAGCCTCCCATCGCCCAAGGCGGAAGCTCTTCGGTTGCACAGACTCCCATACATCCCTCAGTTCCGGGCTATCTTTCTTAAGCGCACAATTCGTATGGCACGGATCTTGAGTCGGGGATCCTTTGTTGAAGCATTTTGGATTGAGTATGACCCAGAGTTGACACTCGCCTCAATGGCCAAGGTACGACCCCTTCAGCTTGGACCCTCAGAATCTCTGCCGAGTCATGTAGCTTGGATGCTTTTTGGAAGCCTATGTCATCGTCAATTATATCCCCTGTGCTATCTCGAAATCCTTCCACGCGCTTGAGGAGCCTTTTGCATCGTCTATGAACGTTGCGCAAGCATTAAGGAGGGATCGCCAGTTGCACCTATTTTCCAGGTTCAGTACCACTGTCAAGCTTTGGCAGGACGCTTCCAAAATCGCAACATGCACAAGTTGGAATGTACAGGTACGTGCAGTTGTCGCCACCCCGACAGGTTCTGTACCGGCAAATGCTAGTTCCTACATGAACAAGACTTACTCCATGACATTTCATCCTTCGGGCGGTTGAATTCTAAAGCAAGTTGAAGTCTTCGCACGCGTCATCGCTGTGTTCTTGATTCTTGATGGTTGCGTCGACATGTTCGATGTTGCCAAAGTGCTTCGTCCATGTGCCGGTCTTGAAGGTTCGAGCTGACGAGGTAGAAACTCCGTGTTCTTGTGTTGCTGGTCGCAGCGCCTGCTGTGGAGTGTCTCGGGTGGCTTACTTCCCTCAAGTTCGACGAAAGTGAATGCTGCAATTTCTCTGCTGGGGTTTCTTGAGGCCTCCGAGCACCGGGAGGATGTGTGTTCTGGACAGCATGGGCCCCACTGGTATCAAGAGGCTGGGAGCAGCGGCTGGAGGGTGTCCGCCTGTGCCAGCTTGTGATGGTCGACTTCCCGCAGGCTTCTCGGCGAGAGCGGCTGGGGCCTGCCGGACAACGTGGTGGAGCTCGTTGCACCTCTCGTGCAAGAAGCCAGCTGCGAAGCTCCTGTGCTCCTTCTTCAGACGAGGTGTCCCAGCTGGAAATCCGCAGTGTTCAGAGCGACGAGGCAGGATCGCCCTTGCAGAGCTTTTCTTGTGATCGAGCAAAGATGCTGCCGCTCAAGTCACTTCAGGTTCGGGTGACCAACTGCTCATCCGGTAGGCTCGGCTCTCGGCTTATGAGTGCTTGGTTGCTGCGTATCTTGGCTTCCTTTCTGTGCTCAGGCATGACTTTGACATATCCGTGGCGGGGTTCTCAGAAGACTGACTCAAGCATTGTCTTCTACAGTAGTATGTAGGTATACTATAGTCTATCATAGTATATGAGAGTATATGATAGTATACTATAGTATACCATAGTATACTGAAGTATGTTCTAGTCTCTTGCAGTAGATTATCATAGATATGCAGCAGAAAAGCAGCCGCCCTCCTTCCCTGCAGGTCTTGAACGAGCACGAGGACGAATGGTGGATTTCCGAACCTGGAAGCTGCCCCGGACCCCAAAATTTGCATTTTACCTTTGCCATGCCATAGTATACTTTACATCATAGACTTTGGTATCTTATAGTTTTCTATAATTTACTGCACATAACATACTATAATGAATTCCAACATACTGTAATGTACTATTATGACGGACTCTAGTATGCTATAACCTGCTATAACATACTGTAATATACCATGTCCTGGCTCGAGTCCTGGCCCTGACAAGGAGGAGTTGGTCAAGAATACCTTGACTTCTCCTTCGATGCAGTCAGACGCATCAGCTTCGTCTCAATGAAGATCCCACCTCTGCCACATGGACCTTTGTCAGTGTTGCTGGACCGAGTTAGACTAGGGTTTCGGGGTATATCAGACTACAACTACAAGGAGCCCCAGACAATAGTATTGATAAGGCAGAGAAGGCAGAGGGAGGAGCGCGAATAGGCCGCCCCTTTAAGATGAGATAGAAAAGCAAGGCGGGACTTCCACCTCCTCGCGGGCGGAAGCAGTGAGGATCCCGAAAGCTGGGAACGTGCGTCGCCGGTGCCCCTGCAGACGCCCCTCGATCGAGCTTGGCTGAGCCTCTGAGCCTCCCTGTCTTTGTGCCCTTTCTGCAGCCTTGGGAGCCATTGAGAGCTTTTGAGGCTGGATCGAGCGGATTTGTGGCTTGGCTATGCTTGGCTTTTCAGACTCTCGGATTCTCGGATTCTCGGATTTGTCAAGCGGACTGAGGCAGGAGTTCGCCCTCGTTCCGCCCGTGGAAGCCCAGACCATACGCCTGGTCTGCACCCGCAACGCCGATGCGGCCTCTGCTGAGAAGGAGGCCGAGATCCCACGGCGGCGATATCTAGGTCCCCATGCTCAAGGAGCAAAGTTCTTGACAGTTCATGTGGTTTTACAGACGGATTTCCAAACTCCACAATGCTTTTGTGTCGGATGAGTGAGCTATGAGGTTCTACAGGTTGCATCGGCCTCTTCCAAGCTCCTTGGACTGGGGAAGATAAAGCTGGAGGGGAGATTTTCCAAGTGTCTCTCGGCTCTCCTCTAGCCTGGTGGCGGGGGCCTTTAGATGTCATGACATTCGCAAGGTCTTTGGCCCAAGCTCTTGTGCTCTGAGGTGTCCTTCGCATAGGGTGCTGCCGGGAAGGACCCCTCACCCAGTGCACGTGAGAGCGTTCAGTATTTAGCTTCTCGAAGAGTTTCGAGAGCGGGGTTTGAAAACAGCTCAAGAGGGCATGGCCCTCCCCCACTCGCTGATGTGATCTGTGTACATACTGTCGAAGTGCCGGAAAGGCTTAAAGCCAGAGGCCCAGCCTCAGGCCGCGAAGTGAGAAACCGCCACCGGAATGCCGGGATGGTCGGAACTTTCTAAAAGTCTTAACACATAGCAAATTTTCGTTGGGTGGTCGTGAGTGAGCAGGGTTTGACTTGCTCACGTAGCCATGGTGTGTGGTTCGCACCCAAGCTTCGGCATTTTCAGAAAGAGACTAAAACCTACACCGGCTACTGTACGTTTCCACCCGATTTTCGGTGACATTCAGGAGCCCTCAAGGCAGTTTGCATCCTTCCACAGGCAGCTCGCTCGAGGCTGAGCCCCCGCGTGCCGGAAGAAAAGCAGAAAGCTATACTTGGAGGGGCAGGGGACTTAGTAAGTAGGTTATAGGTAAAGTTATAAGTACCCTAAATGGAGTTACCCCCAATTATAACCCTACTTATACCCTACTTAGTCCCCTGCCCCTCCAAGTATTACGCACGTGCATTTGGGAGTCCGCAAGACTGACTACTGAGCACGGAATGTGAGAATGGAAAGATTTTTCGGGAGTTCTGAAGACCGTGCAGAAGCCAAGGCCAATGAGGTCCTCCTGGATGATGAGCAGTGTCGGCCTCTGACTCCGAGCAGAAGCTGTGCAGAGTGGGGAAGAAGCCGAGGATGCTACCACGCCGAAAGGGTACAGGTGCCGCTGCCTGTGTTGCATTGTGACTGCGCAAAACAGAAGAAAAGTCATGATGAGAAATGTGTGTCCATGATCTCAAGCTTGCATGTCCTGATTGTTATGACGCCATGGGTCACCTCACCATCCGGAACCTCAGCGGCCAAGAACTGGAGCTGGAATTAAGTGGAGGCGAGACGGCCTTCCACGTGAAAGAGAAGATTCACGAACACTGGGGTTTACCCCCGAAGTGCCAAGAGTTGATCTTGCATTCGGCAGCTCTGGCAGATGCCTACAGCTTTGCAGATGCCGACAAGCTCGAGCTGCTTCTGGTGTGCTCGTTGCTGGGTTCTTGTTAAGGGATTCAAAACAAGTTACCATCATAAGGAAACCATATCATGGTAACATAAATTGAATCCCTTAACCCTTAAAGGAACGCTTATGGATCCCTTAAAGGAACCCTTACAGATCCCTATTATGGTAACTTACTTTAAATTCCTTAGCCAAGAGCCCAGGTTGCGAGAACTCTGTGCCAACCTGGGCAGCAGCAGCGCAGCAGCCCGCGCCTCGGCCTTGCAGGACTTGGCCGCTGTGCGGGGGAGCGCCGGCGCCGTGGAGGCCGCCCTCCAATGCCTGGAGGAGACATGGGGAAGACGAGAGACCCATAGAGCAGACTCTAAACTCCCTAAACTCCCGAAGCCCCTCAGCCGCTTAAACCCTAAACCCCTAAACTCCCTAAACTCCCTAAGACTCTTGGTGAACCGGAGGACAGGAGTGCTCACGTGCGGGACCGCGCGGTGGAGGCCATTCTCCAGGTCGCAGACCAAGGCGACCAGATGGTCTTGGAGGCAGCCGACCGGCT